ATATATATCTTATGATTAGTCTTCACTCTGTTATAAGTTTCTTTACATAATGGTTTTGAGATTATTAAATTATTTCCTTCTAACTACAGTATTAAAGTTACTCTTGAAGGCATACACTTCTTTATTTCAAGTAACTTTAAGGGTACCACAAGGTTCTATTTTTGCTCCTGTAATGTTTCTCATCTACAATAAAAATCTTCATGAAAATTTTACATCCAAAGTGCCTCTATTTGGCGACGACTCAACTTTATACTCTCGTCTTGACAAAAACTTTCACTTTTTGATTATTTAGAACAGGCTTTTTAATCTGATCTTCTTTTATTTTTTTTCAATTTTTGTTAGACAAAAAAACTCATTTATTTACTGCAAAAAATATTGTAATATTGTTGGCATTATTATATTGACGAATAACAACCCTCAGACTCTCAGACAAAATTTAAAAGCACATCGTAAATGTAATAAGACCTGCTTTATCTGGAATTATCTGGAAGCTTGAACGACTCTTCCATTGTTGTAAGGTTGCATTTTTTTTTTCTTTCTACAAATATCATCATGGTCAATGCTCAAGCGAGCTATCACCTCTATTACGATAAACTAAAACTCATTGTTGCTTGGCTTCTTATTTAACAAGTTGCATCTTTTTACTTTATCTGTGTATTCATGCTATAAAAACTTTTATTAATCCAGTTTTTTTCCTTGCACATCAAAAAAACATTATAACTCTTTCCTGTCTTCATGTTTACCTTTTTAATACATCCTATTACTTTGAAAGTCTTCAGTTAACCATTTTCTAGTATTTTAACCTATCCTCTATTATAAAGTAACTCATAACTTAATATTGGTTGCTTGCAATCTTGTTGAAAGTAAATTAGAGTTTAAAAATACATAAATATATGCCAGTATATCATAAATAGTAAATGTAAGTATAAAATTATAATACAAAAAGTATTATGAATTTTTTTCTAGCCTCGGCTATCAACCTTTGTTAAATCTTATAATTTTGCAGGGGTCAAGTTTGCAAAAAGTCTTATTTAAAGCTGGGGCCCTGGTCACTTACTGCTTCAAGTATATAAACATATAATTGTATACTTCAAATATATAAACATATATTTTGTATACTTCAAGTATATAAATATATACTCTATAGATTTTTCCAGCACATTTGTTTATAACTAATACAACTTTTAATAGTTTTTTGATTCATCCTGAAATTTATAATATTTAAAAGTATTTGTTCTTGACATAAAAAAATATTGGGTTTTTAAATCCAGGCAGTTTGAAAGAGTTATACTGTTGACAAGTAAATCTTTGAAATTAGATGCAAAATCTTAAATCTTCTAGTATTCTCTTTTTCTAATATAATAATTTTTTCAATAACGGAAGATTTTATAAAAGAAAAAGGTTTTTATAACAGTTTTGAAGAAAAACTAAAAAGAAAATTTTTATAGACAAGTTAAAGAAAATTAAAGAAAGTAATTAAGGAATTAATTAAGAAAAGAGAAATAATTATAAAAATGCAAGTAACATTAAAAAATTGGAAACCAAAACAAAACAAGTAAACAAAAGAAAATAAAGAGAATTCAAAACAAGTAAACAAAAAAACAAAACAAGAAACAAAAAAGAAAGCTGAACAAAAAAATGTAACCATCAAACAATATTCAAAAATATTAAAAAATGAAAATGGACAAGAAAAAGAAAAACTTTTTTTTAGTTATAATTGTTTTTTACAGTATCTTGTATTGACACATATTTTTGTGCATTGTTTATAATGTTGTGTACTTTTAATCTTTGTTTAGTATTGTTATGTATTTTTGTGCATTATTAATATTGTCTTGTGCGATGTTTATATTCTCATGTATTTTTATTATACTGTCATATATGTCATTATAATGTCATTTTCTTGTATGTAAAAGTTTAGTTTTTTTGTATATTGTAAATTTTTTTTTTACAATAAATGTTTGTATCGTGCGGTAGGCTGTTATTTTTTGTCAGTATATACTGCTTGTAACTTCTCCTATCTGTACTTATATATTCAATTGTTGTTTGAAAATTAATATTGATTTTTTAATATTATATTATTATTTTATTATTGTAATAATTGTTGCTTAATTTATTAATATTATTGCTATTATTATTGTTAATATGATTATCATTGCTATTGGTATTTAGAATTTATTTTTTCTATTTGTTTTATATCTACGATTATTTTTTTTACTTTCTACTTTGCAAGAGTTTTTTCTATTGCTGCTGTTTTAATTTGTTTACTTATTTTTTAATTTTTTTTTTGTTATTATTGGTGCCATTTTTGTTTTAGTTTTTAAATTTATCTTATTTTTTATAAGTTTAGTTTTTGTTGAGTTTTTGTTTGCGGTTTATGTTTGAATTATGTTATTATTATTCGTTATTCGTATTATATCATATTATTATATTACTTATATATTTTTCATTTTTATTAAAACATTATAACTATTAATAATCATTGTCTGTTTCTATACGATACTGTTTTTTATCTTTTTATTGATACTTTATGTCAGTTTTTAACTGTTTGTAACTTTTCTTATTTGTGAATATAACATTCAGTTTTGGTTTAGAAATCTATTAATGATCATATTAGTTTTATTAATTTATTTTTGTGTATTGTTTATGTCAGGTGTTTTTGTGTATTTTTTATACTGTTGTGTATTTCTATGTTTTGTTTATACTATGGTGCAATTTTGTGCATTGTAATTTTGTATATTGCCGTTTACACTTGTGTAATGTTTATGTTGGGGTACATTTTTTTTTTGTGGTCTTGTTGCTAATTATTTTTACTATTGTTTCTTTTTATGTTTATTGCTATTATTCAAGTTCATTTTTATTTTTTGTCTCATAATATTTAAAAACAATTTTTTTTTTTAATTTTTTTCATTATTTTTATTATCCTTCTGATCATCAAACGTTGTGTTATCTCATTTATTCATGATCTATCATGTCAGTTTATTCATATTTGCCCTTTTTTGTGTTATTTTTCTTGCTTTTTTAAATATTTATTTTGTTTAATTTTGTTTTGGTTGCTATCTATAATATTTTTTTTGCTTTATTTGTTTATTTTATTAAGGTGTCACTCCAATGACTAGTTTTTAATTATAGTGACACCAAACCTTATTTTGTGAAATTATAAATCACTTTGTAATTATTTAAACTTTATGGTTAAATAAATGGGTAATATAAATTTTGTTTGACTACCCTGTTTAGTAAAGCATCAGTGGTTTCTAAATATTTTCATATTACATTTAATTAAAGTGTATTTACAGTAAACTCCTGATTTCTTGAACCTTCAAATTACAAAAAAAAAAGTGGTTTGGGTCAGGGTCATGGTGGCCCCAAAGTCCATGCGGGATTCCCGCAACGGCTTTTCACTTTTTTATATAAATATCGGCTTTTTTGAATTTTTTAATTTAAGTATGGGCCTTTATTTTAAAAAGTATTTATTTTTAATATAAAAAATAACTGAATAGCATTTTTAAAAAAATATGAAATATTATTCAATTAAGTAACTGCTAAGTAAACCTACAATATAAAAACTTTTTATATTTATGGTATGAGCGCTGTGGCTTTGCGAAAATGCTGGTTAAAATGCAGAATTAAACAAAAGCGTAAACTATCTATAAAAAACAATTTCTTGTTTCCAAGAAATTTTTTTTTTTTAGTTATATAATTTAATACAATTTATATTATAATAAAATAAATAAATTACATGTATTGGCAATACACACAAGTTGTATAGTCACAAATATTTATTTGTATGACTATGATCGAACCCCATTCCTGACCATGCTTAAAGTATTTTGTTTTATTAACTTGACCACGGTAGTGTGTTTTGACAACTTAGAGCGTTTAAAAAATGCGATAAAAATTTAAAAGATAATTTATATATATAAAAAAAAATCTTAAATAAAAAGAAAAAATCTAAGCTCAAAAAACTTAAATTGGAAAAGGAAAACATATTTATATTACATTTTTAAAATATTGCTATATTATGCTATTATTATTGCTTTGTAAATTATTATAAATATATTAAATACATAAATAATTATGTTTATTTATTACTTTATTAAATAAAGTAACAAAATAATTTTACAATAAAAATTATTTAAACTATTAAAGAATATAAATGTAACATATAAAAGTAATTATGTATAATATTCTTAAAAAAATAAAATGTATTTTTTGATAAATCTTTTTAAACTTTTTTTATGATTACTTTTATAAAAACTTTTAATAGCGAAAAAAAATAAATTTAAAAGAGGTTTTAAAAGCTAAAATATTCATTCTAAATTTATAAAAACCCTCATACAAAAAATAAAACAAATACTAAAGTATAAATTCAAGTTAATAGTCAACTTGAATTTATATTTTAGTAAACGTGCAACGTTTTAATATAAATGATTAAAACCAGGCTGCTTAATTTAAAAAAAAGTTTAATGCTTTGGTGTCTGTTTAAATGAAGTTTATATACAAATTTTTTAACAATTTTGAAATAATTAAAATAGTTATAAAATAAATGCACTCAACCGGGGTCTAACAAAATAACAGATAGATGTTGTTTTTTACCGGACAAATATGGGCCTTTACATTCATGATATATGGTAAAATCCTGCATATATATAGGCTTTTTTATTAATCATGATATATCGTAAAATCCTGCATATAAAGGGCCTTTACATTCATGATATATGGTAAAATCCCGCATATATAGACTTTTTTAACATAATCCTGCATAAGCCTTTTACAGCCACCACGCCCCTGGTTTGGGTTGAATGTTGAATGAATGTTTGAGTTATCAAGTAATATTTATAAGATATTGGGTTCAACGGAAAATTGAAAACACTTTAATTAACTGTGTTAAAGTTAAAGTTATTGAGGGTTCAAATTATCCAAAGTTTTTTTTAATTTTCATGAAAATTATCAAACTGTTTCTTTTTATTTTATTGATATAAACTCTTAATGATCAATTTTAGGTTTCTTGAACAAAAGCATAAAGACAAGTACAAAGTTTATAATCTGTAAGTTTTTTTTTTTCTAATTTTGTAAATAGAATAACGCTCTCCAAAAGTTTTGATTTTTTATAATTTTATGATATATAAATGATATTCTTTAATTTTATGATATAGGTTAGGTAAGAAACTCAATTTATTTTAACAACATTTAAAAAAATTTAGAGACATAAATTTGTTTTTTAAATCATTTACATAAAAGTGTTACTTGTTCATTTACTAAAAATATTTTTATTAAAAATATTGCTTGTTCATTCACCAAAAATAATGTTTGCCTTCTCATCAAAAACATTACTTGTTTTTTTACTTATTACTTTATATTTTGGAGCAATGTAAATAATATAGTTTATTATTTTTAATCAGTAACTTTAAAATATTATCTAGTTATTTGTATTTTCTTAAGTTGCAATCTAATAATAAATTATTAGATTGAACTATAATAAAATTTTTTTTGGACACAGGACACAACTGTCAATCCAAATTAAAACCTTGTTGACGTCTAAATGCTTTATATTTTTTGATTGAAATAATTGATAAGGAAGAAAACAATAATACTGGCAGTTTGGTCATCATTAACCTTGTTATGTACATAACACCATATATCTTTGGTTGAGCAATTCTAAACAATATAATTATAAAAAATATAGTTAAGTTTAGTTGTTTGTCTTAAGTATCTTTCACCTTTTTCTTAAATTATTTTATTTACAGAAAAATATTATAAATAGGTATTTTTTATTATTGTATGATAAAAATTTTTACTTAAGTGATTCTAAAAAAAATGTGTACATCCATTTTAAATTTAAATTTTAAAGGCATAAATATTAGAGAACTAATGTAAACACTGAAAGCAAGGGTGATGTTATAAGGTTGATTAAGTTAAAACTTTTAATGGCATCAACAATGGGTAGTTTGTTTGCTACATGCAAATAAGCTTCCACTGCTTCATTTGTTTGTGGAGTTGGACCAAATTTGGTTCTAGATACTATCAGGCTCTGTTAGAAAGTCTCTTGTAACTTTTGAGATTTTAAAGTCTGTTGATTTTTAATCTATAAACCATAATGTAGAAATGCCAGAGGAACTGAAAAATGCTCAATATAGATCAACTTTGCTTTTTTGACATCTGTACTAAGTGATGCTTGTTCTGCCTATCTAGCCCTGGAAAACTGCTTCAATGTAGATGGCTCACCACTGCCAACAGAGTCCTCAGGTTATATGTGTCTACCACAACTTCTCATCAAATTTAGTAAATAAATTCGATGAAGAGTTGATATTGATATACATAATCAGGGTGTTAACTACAGTATTATGACGAAATTGGGATATTTTCAAAAAATTTTGACGAATATACAACCCTCCCTCCCCTGAGATTAAAATGTGTACTGGAAATGTGTGAGGTCTTTTTCTTATATTCTTTCTTCTTCTACTCCACTTTAGCGCTGCATACATTGATTGGACAGCGCCAAAAATAAAGCAAAATACCTTCTGTAACATACTGAAGATGAATATGAAATCAACACAAAATTAAACATGGTTTCACTATGAAAAGGCTTTGATTTCAAATTAAGCTTCAATTTCCAAAGATATATTCAGAATTATATATTTTTATTTTATAAAATAGTCAGTGTGTATTAATTAATTATTATTAAGAATAATATATTTGATTCAATTTTAATCTTAATATGCTGTTGCCACTTTTATGTTAAGAGTATTCTTTTGAATATATATATTTTTTTCACTGGTGGGAAATTAAAGGGGGATTATTAAAGTAATATAGCGATTTTTAAAGTAATATAGCAATCTTCTACTTCTTTTTGTATCATCAAAAGAAATGTTTTAAAAATAGAAAATTAAAAAAGATTTTGAAAATAGTAAATATTGAGCAGTCGTTGCGTAGTGATTAAAGCATGGTGTTTATTGTATAAGGGTTGCAAGTTCGAATCCTGCTCGAAACACTTATATGTTATCAGTAAAGCTCAAAATGGGGAACCAACTCATTAAATGGTTAAGCCCTTGTGGCAGTGCTTAGTGATAAGACCATTAGCTCTTATCACAAATAAGACCATTAGAGTATTCTTAAATAAAAACAATAAAAAGTTTATATAGATGAGACAAAATTGTATGCATTTTTAGTTATATAAAAAAATATTTTCAAATATTTAGTACATATTAGTCAGTATTGTTCTGGGGATCAACCAATGGTTGCAATTCAGATGATAATGAACTTCTTTTTTGTTTTTGCTATAGACTTGTTGGAACGATTTTTTTTTTTTCCTTAGCCAATACCTTTTTTTCTTTTTCTTTGAGTCGCTTAGCAGCATTAACAAATCGCAGTTGTTTTCTTTTGCATTTTTCTCTTTCCTGTTGGATTTTATCTTGGTGATATTTCAGCTTTGTTAAGTATGCTTCTTGAGAAGTTAAAACAAAGTATTTAAGCAGACTTTTTCTGTCCGCTATCTTTTTCTGTGCGGTGGCCTTAGGATATGCCAAGACATCATCATCTTCATCACCTGCATTGATGAAAACATATATATTCAATAAAAGAGCAAGTATTTAAATAATTTTAAAAAATTTGAATTGGTTTTAATCTAAAAATTTTAATCTAAAAGTTGCATTGTTGCTATGCAACTATTGATCACTTGATCAAATGAAATTAAAAAAAACTGTAAAATGATTGACTTACCAGGGTAGAAATAGTTTGCAAACGGAAAATCTGAAACTGTAGCAGGCTTTCACAGGAAGACGTGCGATTTCATGTCTTTATATGACCACGCAAAAAAAAAATGTTTTAACGATTTGACCACGGCATATATTTAAAATTTAAAAACGCGCTACAAAACTTACCTAAACTTATCTGAAAAAAAAAATTTTTTAAATAAAAAAAGACTTAGTTAAAGCAAAAACACACACACAAAAAAAAAAATATATATATATATATATATACATATATATATATATATATATATATATATATATATATATATATATATATATATATATATATATATATATATATATATATATATATATATATATATATATATATATATATATATATATATATATATATATATATGTATATATATATATATTATTTATATATATATATATATATATAAATAATATATATATATATATATATATATATATATATAAATAATATATATATATATATATATATATATATATATATATATATATATATATATATATATATATATATATATATATATATATATATATATATATATATATATATATATATATATATATATATAGGCCTTGCAATGAATAAGAACTGCGCGACGCATAAGCACGACGTGATTTTTGACGTCATTAAATTCTTTTTATTTGCTTTTCATATTTATCGACATTAACTGCACCAATTTACTTAATTACCGCAAAATTATTTAAAAATGTTTTGGAATGTTTCGTTTTTTAAAATGTAAAAACATTTGTTTATTTTCTTGACGTTTGTCACGTTTTGTCTATACTAAACGAATAAAAAACATAACTTAAATTTAAAAAAGATTATAAAATATGCTAATATTTGATTTTTTTTTTCTTAAATATGTAATTTAAAGTTTTTCAAATAATTATTTTTCTTTTTAAAAAGTCAGCGAGTAATAAACTGGAAATTTTAATATTGTACGATTAAAAACTGTGCAATAGCTAATATTTTTACAAGCAATTTTATATAATATTTATTTATTTTTATTTATTTTCATAAAGCGGTTGGATCAGCACAATCACTCGTGTTAATAAAAAACTTAAATGAACGTTTTGAATAGATTTTTAATGTTAACAAGGAATTTTATTTCTAGCAAAATAAAATAAAATGTTAGAATAAAAATCTTATAGGTATAAAATAAATATTTCAGCGAAAAAATTATTCTTAAAAATTATTATTAAAAATTATTCGAAAAACTATTGAAGTTTTATTTTTCAGCAGCTGTTCTTGAGCACGCTTCGTTGAGTTTCGGTAACTTTTAACATAAAAGCGATCGTTATTATTTAAGTAATTTTTTTGAGTTACTTTTTACAAAAATTTTAATAACTGTACTTTTTTATTGAATCAAGTAAAATACGTTTTAATATTAATCCTTTTTTTTTTTTTATTTACGCTCACCAATTTTTTAAATGTTTCCTCAAAATTACTTTTAAATACTTTAAATACGTCTAACAGTTAATAAATATTTTTAAATATATAGAATAATTTCAAAACCTAACAAACCCCCGTAAAATAATTATTTAAGTTTAAAATCTAAAACTAAAAGAAACTATTTTTGTTCAATTTTATCGACAACTTTGCTATTGCTGAATAATTTTATTAAAATGTTAGCTTAAAAGATTTAAACTTTTTCTTTAATCTGAATTTTTTCTACTTGTAAATAATGAGCATATTTAACTTTTTTGAATTCAAACTTTTATTTCAACTGCGTGCGGTTTTTAAAATACTTTATTAAATGTTAAAATAATCGTAAATTACTTCATTAAAATTCCGCTCAAAAATATCTTTAAATATACTCAAACAAAAATTTGCTCGAGGCAAATAGCCCTAGCTACAAGCAAAATCGCTCTTGGACGACGTAAAATTCACATTGCCCGACGCTTTATCGCAAGGCCTGTATATATATATATATATATATATATATATATATATATATATATATATATATATATATATATATATATATATATATATATATATATAAATAACGCAACTAAAACAAAACTCATCTAACTAAAACTTAGTCTATTTTATTTACGCATTAAAAAACCTTTTCAATCTTTGTTTCATTATTTTTATATATTTTTTATTTGTTTAATATGTTCAAAAGTTAAATATTTCTCGTAAAAAATAAATAGTTATATAAATAAAATTAAAAAACATTTTATAAATATTTTTTTAATTAATTTTTAATTAATTAGAAGTGTTTTTTTTTTTTACTTCATTAAAAGCGTTTCGATAATATAAAAGCATTTAAGATCAAACTTATTAAATTGTAACAGATTTCTAAAACTTTTTTTTTTAACGAAATTTTGTTTATCTTTTTAAATGCATTAACTTAAATCATTCTTATATTTAAATTCGTTAAAGAGACTTTCGTAGTCGTAGAATGTCATCGTTTATAAAAACAAAACAGTTTTTTATTTTTTAATAAGATTTATTTTAGAAATGAACACTTAAACAATTTATATGTTTTAAATTAAAAATTATATACAACTGTCAATTATATTTAAAAAACAAAACTTTTTTTTAGTAAATTGTTACTTTATTTAAAATCGTTTCGCTAATATAAAAACATTTGTTAAGAAGTTTTGATGTAATTAATTTCACTTTTTCAGAATATTTTTTATTTAGCACGTTTCTAAAATGTTTTTTGAATTAGCCGCGGTCAAACCGTCATAGCAAAATGTAACTTGCGTGGTCATATAAAGACGTGAAATCGCACGTTTTCCTGTGAAAGCCTGTGTAGTAGAATTAAAGTTTGATGGTTTTAAGATTTTTTTTTTTTTTTTGCTTGGTAAGATTGATAAAACAATTCACAATGCAGTCAACATTTTTTTCTTAAACTGGATTGACTAAATATGCAAGCTGATTATTACGAACAACAGTCTCTGCTTCCAAAATAGAAGTGTTGCTTTGTAACGAACTGTGAGTTGTGTTATCTTCTTCAGTGCCATTTTGTAATTGTTCTAGACAATTAGCAACTTTTCCAGTATCTATAGAAGAATCAACGTCTGAAAAATTAATTTCTTGAATTCCTTTTTTGAAAAATTAATTGATGATTAGAGTTCCTAAGAAAATAATAAATAATACTATTGAAATGCAAGTTAATAAACATTATACTTCATTCAGAATTTTTAGAAATTTGTACATAAAATATTAGTCACAGTTGCTAGCTAAAGTATAAATAATAATTTTTATTGTATAGTAGTATTAGCAAAAACACGATAGTTCAATACTAACCAAAGAACAATTGTTTTCAGTTGTATTAACTGATATATCCTCAGCTATGTGTAGATAGTTCGGTAAATATGCATCACTAGGAATAGCTAGAAGTCATTGCTTTTTCCCAAGCTAAAGCAAATATCCCTGCAAAATTTGAACGACAAGTAATAATTCCTGGAATCTTACCCATCTTGTGAATGGATTATTATCGCTCTACAGCGATAATAATCTATCACTGAAGGATTATTATCGCTGTAGAGCGATAATAATCCTTCAGTGGCTTGAATAAGGTGTGGTTGTATGGTTGAAGCCAGTTTGATTTGTATGAAGGCATTTTAACTTTATGTATCTGGTTCTGGATAGCAATATCAATACGCTCAATAAAGTTGTGAGAATCATGCCCATCCAGTATCAATAACTGAGGACGTTGTGGACCAATGTTTTCTAAAAATGTCTTGGTAAACCATAGTTTTGTTAGGCCCTGTTTAGTTCAACCACTATTGGACCAGCTCCAATTTGTTCCTGGAGGTGCAAACTCAGTGTTAAAACCCTATAAAGACATGGATGTTTTTCCCTTCACTATAACCTGGGGTGGAATGAACTTGCCCTGTGCATTCACACATGCAATAACAGTGGTTGACTCTCGATTTCCACTCATTCAACAATGGAGGTTTTTTGTGCCTTTTCATGCTACCACTTTTCTTGGTTTTACGTCAAGTTGTAGACCAGTTTCATCCATATTCAATATGGATTCTGGAATGACGTCATGGTGAAAACCATTTTTCACCATGACGTCATTCGAAGCACTAAAGTACTTTGACACTTTATCTTTATCCACACACTGATGTCAAACTGAGTCACAGAGTAAATTTATGTCACAGAGATGTCACAGTTGTCACAGAGTAAGAGTTGTCACTCTTGTCACAGAGTAAATTTATGCCCATGTTGGTGTTTGACCCTAGTCCACTGCTGATTGCTTGAAAGCCCTATCTTGAAGTTGAATTTATGTTTTGCGGCAAGTTTCCCAGCATAATTCAGGAACTGTGACTTTCCAAAACCTACCCCTAACTTTGCTCTATTGCTGGCATAATTGATAATTTTTTCTTCCAGAGCAAAAGATAGGGTAGGTTTTCTTCCTGGCTTTGTTCCAATGACTTTTCCAGAAAGTCTGTCTTTCAGTGTTGTTTGTGGGTGTGCATAAGCAGCAATATTGTACAATATTGCTGCCTATGCACTGAAAATGATGGCTCTGATCTGACTACATATGTTTCAGGAATTTGCCCTGTTTTTTAACAGTGACTGATTGATCAATGGAATGATTGGAACCATTGACACGAGTTAAAGAAATATCAATTGTTGGTAGCTGTTTCATTTGACAAATGTCAAGAGTACTACTGCCAGATGTTGAAGTTATACCATCACGAAGATGATTTGTATTATAACATAAGGTAGTTCTCTGTTATAGAAGCAACCTTTCCAACCGACATCCAGTGAAATCTTGGTGATGATCTACATCCCCCACCTCTTATTTTAACCATGTTTTTTTCAAGACAATACTTAATGCGTTTAATGGGGCCCCACAGGGCTAATTTAAACCCTGATAAAGCCTGTTAATGCTTTAATGTGGTTCATCACCAAAAAGGATATTATCTATTATCCTTTATGGAAGGAGGCATCTATGCAATACAATAATCAAATCGTGATATCTGCCAGATGCCTTAGATAAAGTGGTAAAGTTATTCAAACAAATGCATTCAATGGTCATCAAGAAAATATTGTTCTGGCAATGATATCAGATAAGCAGCCACAAATTTGAGAAATATGTGTTAGAAACATGAAAGCTAATCAAACAAGTGTTGTAGTTATGTAGCAGTATAAGTAGTTATGTAACAGATATTTGGAAATTTTGTTTATTTTGGGCTATCATAGAAAAAATTAAGTCCTGTAATTTATAACTTTTTTATTGTAAGTCCTGGAAAAGTCTTAAGCAAAATAAAGCAAATTACATAGAAAATAGAAAAGTTGTCCTGGAAAATCAAGGATTTTAAAATTATGTATATGGTGGGAGCCCTGAAGGATTTTAAAATTATGTATATGGTGGGAGCCCTGAAGGATTTTAAAATTATGTATATGGTGGGAGCCCTGAAGGATTTTAAAATTATGTATATGGTGGGAGCCCTGAAGGATTTTAAAATTATGTATATGGTGGGAGCCCTGAAATATATGAATGCTTTATTAATTAGTGTGCACAGATTCATGTTCTTAGTTTTTTAGTTTAGATTATTTTAATTGTACATTATACACTTCTAATTGTACATTATACTGGTACAATTTTACTGGTAAATTTTTCATTAATAAACATCTTTTGGAAAGAATCTGTTTTTGAAAAACTTGTCTACTATACTAAGATTTATCTAAAAAAAAAAAATGTTTCACTAAATAGTTCATATTTAATACCTGTTGTTATTTGTCACTATTTTTGTTACTAAAAAGGTTTGGTAGAAAACAGTTAAAATTTTTATTCACAATAAAAATTCATATAAAATAAAAAAAAAAAGTCACAATTGATTTACTTGTTTGACCATACCTCCTTATATAAATCTTTGAAAAGTATGAAATACTGTTAAGAAAGTACAGGCTTAAAAATACTTTTTATTCAGCTTTGAAAGAAATTAATTGCTTTAAACTATTAAGACACTTTTTAAATTGAAAAACTATTGAGTATTTTTTTTAAAAGCGTCTTAAAAATTGTTATGAAACCCTTATAATAGTTTAAAATTGTTATGAGACCCTTATAATATTTTTAAATTATAATATTGTACAACCACGAATCTAATATTTTGTTTTGACAACTTGGCTAGGACACTGTGTATGTTTTGATAATTTAGGTTTTTTTTTCAAATTGCACTTAAAAACTAAACTTAACTGAAAAGAAAATTAAAACTACAATTAAAAAGAGAAACAAAATCTTATAGATTGATAAAACAAATAAAGGATAAACCAGTAAATATAAAAACATAAAATAAAAAATCTAATAATTTAAATATAGTTTAAAGCTAATAATTTCTTTCAAACTGCAACGTTAGTGTAACTGCAATGCCAGTGTAGCGTTTCCAATTATATTAATTAATGGTATAATATGTTTACAAGACTGTTAGTTTGATCATTAAAAAAATTTTTTTTTTTTTTGCTCAATAGGTATAAGAAAATATCGTTTTAATATAGTTTAAATTTTTAGATAATTAAGTTTCAAAGTAATTTTATTTTTTTCTTTTATTTTGACTTACTCCCAACAAGACTGCAAGCAACCTCTATTATTTTCAGAGTTACTAGAAGAAAAAAAAGAATAGAGTTAAAAACAAAGCAATCAGTTGACAAAAGACTTTATCTTGTATGACTCAGTAAATCAGTTGACAGAAAACTTAACGTTGTATGACTCAGTAAATCATGAAGTGGGAGAGAGTTCCAAGGGTTAAAATGATGGAGAAAAAAATAGATGGATAAAAGTTTTTAGAATATTAATTTACAATCCATGCAAGCCCAAATCTGTTACAGAAGTGAGATCGGATTCAAGATCAGCTGCCTATCCTTAGTGATCGAAAAGAAAATATTAAGCTTAGATTAAATAATTTTAAAACTTTGATCTTATATAAATTTTACCAAGTGAACACTTTTAAATTAAAATAAAGACAAATATAATTTATTTTTTTTTAAGTCTTAATTTTTCTTTTCAGTTTTTATTTCTCTATTCAGTTTATGATTTGTTTATTTTCAAGTACACATTAGTTTATTATGCTTTTTTTTGTTTTTAACTTTTTTTTAAGCCATTATAATCATTTTGCAGTTTTAACCATCTAATTTTTACAATCTACAATTTTTTATTATCTTTATAATTTTATATCACACTGTCAGTTTTAATTACTTATAATTAACATTTATTTTACTGTTATCTTTACTTCTTACAGTGTATTTGATTGCATGAAATGTGTTGCATGTTTTACTAATAATATAATTTTTAGCTGTTCAGAAAAGTATTATGAGCCAGAAAAGTTCAGTAGCAGAGGTATTATGTTAGAACTTTTTATTTTTATTTTTAGTGTATTTAGATTTAATTTTTTTTTTTTCTGTAATACTTTTATTTCAATGGATTTATGGAATTTAAAGGATTAATGTGATTTAAAGGATTAATGGGAATTAAAGGATTAATGGGAAACAGCATTGCTTTGAAGCCCAGCAAATGTTTATAGGTCTGGAAACCCTTGATCAATTGTTGGGTTTTCAACACACATGGGTCAGGAGAACACCAACAAAAGCCAAATAAAACTTGTATCTAACTGCAGATTATTTAAATAATAATTTTCCACAATACCACTTTGCTTCATTTTTAAATACCTCTGAAGCTTAATAGTGGCAGATTCACTTTTCCTTTTTATCATTAACTCATACATCTTTCCCTTTTTATCATTAACTCATACATCTTTCCCTTTTTATCATTAACTCATACATCTTTCCCTTTTTATCATTAACTCATACATCTTTCCCTTTTTATCATTAACTCATACATCTTTCCCTTTTTATCATTAACTCATACATCTTTCCCTTTTTATCATTAACTCATACATCTTTTCCTTTTTATCATTAACTCATACATCTTTTCCTTTTTATCATTAACTCATACATCTTTCCCTTTTTATCATTAACTCATACATCTTTCCCTTTTTATCATTAACTCATACATCTTTCCCTTTTTATCATTAACTCATACATCTTTTCCTTTTTATCATTAACTCATACATCTTTCCCTTTTTATCATTAACTCATACATCTTTCCCTTTTTATCATTAACTCATACATCTTTTCCTTTTTATCATTAACTCATACATCTTTCCCTTTTTATCATTAACTCATACATCTTTCCCTTTTTATCATTAACTCATACATCTTTCCCTTTTTATCATTAACTCATACATCTTTCCCTTTTTATCATTAACTCATACATCTTTCCCTTTTTATCATTAACTCATACATCTTTCCCTTTTTATCATTAACTCATACATCTTTTCCTTTTTATCATTAACTCATACATCTTTCCCTTTTTATCATTAACTCATACATCTTTCCCTTTTTATCATTAACTCATACATCTTTTCCTTTTTATCATTAACTCATACATCTTTCCCTTTTTATCATTAACTCATACATCTTTCCCTTTTTATCATTAACTCATACATCTTTCCCTTTTTATCATTAACTCATACATCTTTCCCTTTTTATCATTAACTCATACATCTTTCCCTTTTTATCATTAACTCATACATCTTTTCCTTTTTATCATTAACTCATACATCTTTCCCTTTTTATCATTAACTCATACATCTTTCCCTTTTTATCATTAACTCATACATCTTTTCCTTTTTATCATTAACTCATACATCTTTCCCTTTTTATCATTAACTCATACATCTTTCCCTTTTTATCATTAACTCATACATCTTTCCCTTTTTATCATTAACTCATACATCTTTCCCTTTTTATCATTAACTCATACATCTTTTCCTTTTTATCATTAACTCATACATCTTTCCCTTTTTATCATTAACTCATACATCTTTCCCTTTTTATCATTAACTCATACATCTTTCCCTTTTTATCATTAACTCATACATCTTTTCCTTTTTATCATTAACTCATACATCTTTCCCTTTTTATCATTAACTCATACATCTTTCCCTTTTTATCATTAACTCATACATCTTTCCCTTTTTATCATTAACTCATACATCTTTCCCTTTTTATCATTAACTCATACATCTTTCCCTTTTTATCATTAACTCATACATCTTTTCCTTTTTATCATTAACTCATACATCTTTCCCTTTTTATCATTAACTCATACATCTTTCCCTTTTTATCATTAACTCATACATCTTTTCCTTTTTATCATTAACTCATACATCTTTCCCTTTTTATCATTAACTCATACATCTTTCCCTTTTTATCATTAACTCATACATCTTTCCCTTTTTATCATTAACTCATACATCTTTCCCTTTTTATCATTAACTCATACATCTTTTCCTTTTTATCATTAACTCATACATCTTTCCCTTTTTATCATTAACTCATACATCTTTCCCTTTTTATCATTAACTCATACATCTTTTCCTTTTTATCATTAACTCATACATCTTTCCCTTTTTATCATTAACTCATACATCTTTCCCTTTTTATCATTAACTCATACATCTTTCCCTTTTTATCATTAACTCATACATCTTTCCCTTTTTATCATTAACTCATACATCTTTCCCTTTTTATCATTAACTCATACATCTTTCCCTTTTTATCATTAACTCATACATCTTTCCCTTTTTATCATTAACTCATACATCTTTCCCTTTTTATCATTAACTCATACATCTTTCCCTTTTTATCATTAACTCATACATCTTTCCCTTTTTATCATTAACTCATACATCTTTTCCTTTTTATCATTAACTCATACATCTTTCCCTTTTTATCATTAACTCATACATCTTTCCCTTTTTATCATTAACTCATACATCTTTCCCTTTTTATCATTAACTCATACATCTTTTCCTTTTTATCATTAACTCATACATCTTTCCCTTTTTATCATTAACTCATACATCTTTCCCTTTTTATCATTAACTCATACATCTTTCCCTTTTTATCATTAACTCATACATCTTTCCCTTTTTATCATTAACTCATACATCTTTCCCTTTTTATCATTAACTCATACATCTTTCATACATTGCCTTCTAAAAAATGTGTCCCACAATTATTACTCTGATGATAATTTCCAAGTCTTAAAATTTATAAAATTTAATTTGCATATAAAAAATTTATAAAAACTTAATTTTATCAAATAATTTTAATTTATATTATACTTCTTAATTATTTTAAGAAATGGTTATAAATTTGTTTCTTAAGCTTATACGGAATTAAAAATAAACTACATTTGTGCATTGATGTTTGTAATTAATCAACAGTTAATTTTATTAACATTATTGTATTTACCTGTTCAGAAGTTGATTTTGTTGATTCAGTTTTAGTATGATTAAACTGGTAGACTAACCTCTCATTGGAAGGATTTTTTTTTAAACCTACCACAGAACAAGTAGCTACTGCCAATATTTTATTTTTTATTATTCTAAAATCTTGATGTCTTTTCTTTTCTCAAGAAAACTTCTGTACTCAATCAAATGTCCAAAGTAGTTTAATAATAAAATATTAATGTATTTTTTTTTTAGATAAAGTAAAGTTATTTCAAATGTCTTAATCTAATAACTTAATTATTTCATATTTATTACTTTATTTTTATAAACTTATTTCATTGTTTCAAATCCTGTATGAATTATGATATTAAGTTTCATCTTTTTTTCTTTCGTCAAAGGGATTCGATCTCAAATTAGAACTGTGTCTTTCTTGTTTTTTGCTAGCATTATATGTTGATACTTTACTAGCATTATATCCAATGCAACAAAAAAACTTTTAGAATTAGATTCCAGTCATTTAATATCAAATAAATGAATTTAAAAAAATTAAAATATGAAATATAAAACGTTGATTTTATATTATTTTACTTGTTACCTTTGAATAAGATATATATATATATATATATATATATATCACGGCTGTTTTAAACCGAGCTTATTGACTTAAGGGGTGTTTTAAACTGAGCTTATTGACCAAAAATATTGACTTAAGGGGTGTTACTAAAACTTCTATAACTTTTAAAATATTAAAGATAATTTTGTTTTGTAAAAAGAATAAAATCACCAATAAAATGTTTCATCTTACGACATTTAATGCATTAGTAAAAAAACTTCTTTAAGTTTAAAAAAAACGCGTTTTTTTATTTTTGATAGTTATTTTCAAATATACCTATTGTTTGACTATTATAAAAACAAAAAACCTTACTTAATTGTTTAAGGATAGCTAAAACAGACTTTATTGAGGTCTGAAAGTAAACCGCACTTTTTGCAAAGTTATGAAAAATGTAGTTAAAAGGGGGATTAGCTGTTAAAAGAGTTTTAAACCTCGGAGTTCTTGTTTTTTTAAACCTAGGAGTTCTTGTTTTAGAAACTTATTTTCCTAAGCCAATAAATTCATTGCATTGCAAAATAAAGCCAGATTTCAATTTTGGAATATTTAGTCAAAACAATTAAAGCTTAAGCATTTATTTTTTTCTGTGCATACAGTTCTAATAATATGGTGTTAAGTTGTTAATAAATAAAGACTCACCAAGTCTAATAAAATAATTCATGACCAAATTTGAGTTGAAGTTTTTGAATTAACCTCGCTTTTGCTAGTAGAATTATTTTATAGCACTTGAATCTATAGTCTCTTCTCTCAGTAAATAAAGTGTTTGAATATACAAATAGCTAATTGGAATCTTTTGAAAATTTGTTTTTATTCCCATTAAAAACTGTTTAATAATCAGTTGGTTTACTGATAGGTTCTTTAAGTAGTAAACTATCTTTGTACATCCAATTGATATCAGATTCATACTCATGCTAAACCAGAAAAACAATTGCTCCACTCAAAATTTTGATAACGTTTACAAATTCTTAATTTATTGAACTAAATTATTACACAAACTTGATATGAGATTTATATTCTCTTCTTTAACCAGTGAGGAGGTATGTAGAGCGGAGGTACTGCAAAGGTAGAACTAACTTCTGGTGATAAACATCGAATGGATATGTAAAATATCTATAAAAAAATGTTACATATAAGGACAATACATTTTTTAAATTAAATACACAAACATACAAGATCATACCCAACCAACATACCAGTTGCTCTGATCACAAGTTAATATATAAAAGCTAGATTTTTACATACATTTGATGCAAGACTAGTATTCCATTCTTTAACCTGAGCGAAGGTATTGCATAGGTATAAATAACTTCTGAAGATAGGAACAGAATGGGCACCTACCTAATATATAAAATCAATATATTAAAAAATAATATTTTAAACTAACATTACACAGATATTAGAACAGAATAAAATTATCTTATATATAAATTAAAGATCTCATATAATTTATCTTACTTGTAAATAGTTTTTTTTGTTGTTGTTGTTTTTAATTTTTTAAATATTTTAACTAAATTTGATGACCACAAACAAGACAAAGACCTTGTCTATAAAATGAATTTTCGTTACGCTCAGAACACACAACACACTTTCTCACCTTAGAGGCTTGAAGCTTCCTATCAGCTTTGCTGTGCAATTCAAGGCATTTTAAAACAAGATGCAGCTTCTGCTCCTGATTTCTTACTGAATGCAACTGTCTTAATTCCTTATTTACGCTATTATGCAAACACTCTCCCTCCTCTTCACTTAGCAACCCAGTAGTTTTATGGAATTTTACAAATACTGGCACATTAAAAATAAGTTTTCGTGTGATACTTTCATTTGGAAAGCAAGCATGAAACTCAATAGCAAATAAATTTATATATTGATGAAGCTCAGTAATTTCAGCATCGGAAAGAAATTTTCGCCAAAAAAGAATAGGTTGCAACTTATTAAAAACACTAAACACACGTACAAATCTATTTTTAATTGCTTTATTATCAATAACACTACAAAGTTTATAGTGGTTTCTTAATACTATTTTGTAATGATTACCTACAAATACATTACCATGGTAAGCTTGTCGCTCAACCTTCATATCTTCAAGGGGCTTATAAAGAGACCTCTCATGAGGCCCTATGCTATTTTTATATTCTTTTTCTAGGTCTTCACACGCCATCTGCAATCGCATATACTCAACGTCTAAAAGTTCCCGTTGTGCGCGTATAAAATAAAATTTTCAGAAATATAAAGGTCAAGACATTCTATATCTTCACCCTGACATGCTAAACACTCATACTTCTCAATGTCACACAATACACTCTTTTCCAAATCACCAATAATTTCACAAAATTGATAAAACATTTTTTGGCACGTACCCAATTGCACCCAATTAATGTTACAATCGTATTTTGTAATTAAACACCTAATACTATCACACATTTCTTGCTGTTTACAGGTTATTTTTTTATTGGAGGAGTTCAGAGATAATTCAGAAATATTTTTATTAAAAGCTAATCAACGCGCCTGTAGATTTGCTTTGTAGATGTCTACAAATTGCTGTTTTAAAACATTTAACGCTTTTAGCAGCCCACAATTCATTCATTCTCACATTCTCATTATGCGACAAAGACGAAACAGCTTGACAATCTAAAGTCTTACACTCCTTCAACAATAACTTATACAGTTTTAACACAACTCCTAACATAATATGCAAAACAGGTGGCACTACATTATCTTAAGTTATTATGGGGAAAATCACAGGAGCAATAATTGAATTATGAAACTTACCTAAAGTTCTTAGGTTTCCACCTTGTCTATTTTCACACAAGTTCTCATTGTAAGCACTTTCCAGAGATTGTATTGTCCTCCTTAAGATGTTACAATTAGCAGGTGTGTGAGGCATAGAAGCATGGTTTCTTAGAGAATTCAACTTAACTAGGTCTGTAGAACTAGGTAAGCTAGCAGCTGAACCCTGGTGTCCCAGAACATCATCGATAAAATGAAAATCTCCACCTAAGAACAACCTGACTATTTTGCCTTTTAGCTTAAAATCTGACGACTGAAATCTTTTAATGTCGTTGGCAAAATTCCCGAGAACTAAGGCTATATTCTCACAACAGTCTGAACCCTGATACATACAAAACAAGTGAACATCGTATACAGACCCTGATGATTTAGAATTGACAACTTCAAAATGGAATTTCATATACTTCCCACCCTTATCACCAGCAAAAAGGAGCCATACTTCTTCGCAAAAACCGACATCCAAATTAAGGTGGTCGCGTACATAAAGATTATTAAAAACCTCTTCAATATAAGTTGTCAAATTCTTTACCATCAGTACAGATACTAAACAAGGTGCTTCATTTGCAGATGGATAAAGTAACATGGACTTCACAGTGACATGTTCTTTATTGACATGCATTGTCCGCATTTCTTGTTCTTGTCTTATCTTGGGCTCAGATGGGAGAATCCTTGCACCAAGATTACACAGAATATGTCTTAGTCTACGGAATTCAGCCGTGGGCATCCTTAATTGGCTCTGTAGCTCTACAGCATCAGAAACACTTAACTGCTTAACTAAACCCAACTTATTTGCAACACAACTAAATATTGACTTTTCACAAGACATAGAATCACAAAACAACATAGACAAATCACTTTCTAAATCTGAACAAGCTAATAATCGAAGGAATATAAAAGCAAGGTTAGATCGTCTAGCTGCAGCATGCCTACCTAACTTAGAATAAGGTTTACCATTTCCTAAATGTAAGTATATTTTTTACTAACAATTGGTTTTTTAACTGATATATTCTGTGGATTACTTAATTTAAACCCACAAAATAATTCAGAGGAACCAATGTTGTCGTAGTCTAAATAAGAATCAACCACAACTAAATCCTTATCGCTACTAGCAAAACATTTGCAAATTTGGCAACTGTTCTGGCTTAAATCACTAATTTTTGCAATTTTTTTTTTCAATATTAATTTTTTTTAGCAATCTTACATTTTTGGCACGAGCAGATGCAAATTTACGCTAAGCTGTTTTAATTTTTTTTTTTTTTAAAAAGTTGGAGCTGCTACTCCTGTTTAAGCCTAATACTCATAGTCTCTAATTGAGAATGTAATGAGTTACAATGTGTGTTGAGAGCCCTATTTTTAGAATTTAAATCTGTAATTTCAGCTTCCAACTTAAATACTTGCATTTAAAATTTTTCTATTTGCTCCATATTTGTTTTATTTTCAGAAGTTAATTGATCAATTTGATTCAGTAGCTCCTGACTGTTATATAAAGTGAAAAAGTCATCTGCATCTGCTGATTTTTTTTTTTTTTTTTTTGGGTGGAGCTTGCAACAGTTGCATTTTAAAAAATTCTTCGTTTTTTATAGCTTTAAATTTTTTTTTTATATTTTTTTTTTTGACGTGTTAACTTTAGGCACATTTTATCAAACTCGTCATTACTAGGCATATCAAAATCAGTTGGCAAAAGAAAACTCATAAAACTAAATAAATCACTTCTTATTTTAAAGACTGTCATTAAAATGGAAATGACATTGTTACTGAATTTATCTGTCCTAGTTAATCGCTTAACAAAAGGAAAGTTACACCTATCTTCCCAACCATTTTTCCATCCAATATGTTGTTTTAGAATTTCCCTCTCATTTAAATACATAGTTATCAAAATAATATTGACTTATTAATCAATATAATAAAAACAAATAAAATAATATTAATTAACAAATATATGCACTAGATAAAAGTGGGTTTAACAACTTATCTGATATTAGTTTGATAATCCAAAGAGAAAAATTCCGCGTAACTTTGTTTACTTTATAGTTCAAAAATTGACTCGCCGAAACAGTTGTTTGGAGAATATTCGTTAATAAATAGTTTGGGACGTAACGCATAAAGGTTATGTCATTGCAAAAAAATGTCAACACAAATGTACGCCTAAAACTAACAAGATTAGTTGTAAAACATGACATTTTTGAAAACATATTTCATAACATAGCTGAAGGCACGTAAAATAATTTTTTTATTTTCATTTGCATAAAAGGTTGAAATTTCATTAACTTATGTCATCCATCAAAAAAGTTACGTTTTGCATTTAAAAACGATCAATTAAAAAATATAAATGCTTTAAAAACAGTCTTTTTGTAAAAAAATCTCTAGGATGACGCATGAATCTGATAGAATGGACATTTAGGGTTAAGTGTTCCAAATTTCAACTATCAAGCACAGAGCTATGTTATGAAATCTTAGTTGGCCTAACTCATGCTTTCCGGAAAATATGCGAAAATTAGAAAAGTGGTTCTAAATTATTAAAAATATTTTGGCAATATTTATTTTTATACCAATTAATGTAAATATTTATTTAACAAGGAAAGATAGATTTTTTATATTTTTTTAATTGCAAGATGAAAGCATTTATATAAAAAAGTAACTATTAATTTAAAGTTTGTGAATTTTTATACTTTTTATGCGGAAATACTTTTTTTTTTTGATAAACTCATGACGTCGCGCTCGTTTTTATATTGAGTGAAACAGCCGCGATATATATATTAGGGTTTTTTTTGTTTTTTTTGTTTTTTTTAATTCGATATCGCACACCCTCTCATTTGGTGCAGTTATATATATATAATAAAATGTATATAGCAACGACCTATTCCCAGACTCCACGCTAGAAATGATAGGTCCTGGACCTGTTTTTTATGTTTTTTTTAGACCCGTTTTTATCTAAAATAATATATTTCTGAAATATATTAAAATCAACTTGTGCCAGTGTTATATGCATCAGTTTTACTTTTTAGGGATAACAATTAAACAAATGTATATAGCAGTGACCTATTCCCAGGTCACTGGGAAGGGTTTTTTTGCCAAATTAGGACTTTAGGTGCGGCTATAAAAAAAAAAAAAAAAAAAGGCATTACATTCTGATATTTAAAAAGCAGATAAATTTCACATTTTTTAGATACAATTAAATTTTAATCATAATCAAAATAAATTTTCTATTTTTGCTGGATTATATTTACAGCAGTATTATTTTTCTACTGTATAAATGTTTAATTCTAATTATTTAACTTGGTTCATTATGAGCAATCTTCTAAGGTTTTCATTTTTATATCGCTTCTCTTCTTCGATTGATGTACTGCAGCCAAAACGCTTTAAAATGCTTGTTACATATTTAAAGAAAAATGCAATAAAAAAAATTATTAGGAGAAACTCTTTGTGGAATGTTTTTTGAAATGATTAATTTTTATGGATTTTTTTAGAACACAATAAATATGTATTCAACAACGCTTGTAGACATCTAAATTAGCTTATTTTATAAAAAAGTCAAAATTGATTTTTTTTACTTTAAGATGTTTTAAAAACGACTGCAGTATAGAAGAGAGAAAAAAAAAACAAAAGAAAATTGTTTGCAGATTTAATGAATGATTTATTAAATTTCATTGAAACTATTTATTTTAATTGCGTACATCGCTTTTAAATACAGTTTTAAAAGGTTTACACGATTAGTTCTGAAGAAATATATTTGAATATATAAGTATATAAATACTTTATTATTTTAAAATAATTAATTAAAATTTTTAAACTTTTTTACAATACTCGTATTATTGTTCATCGTATTTTATATTATAATTTTTATCATAAGATAAATTTAATAGTTTAAAAACCTATTTAAATCAATAGCTTTTAAATGAAAATTAAATAAAAGTTTTCAAAATCTTAATAACTTTCAATTGAAAACTTGGTTGGCTTGCAGATTTCTGTTAAATATAATGTTTGTTAAAAGAACTTTTGTTGCAATATGTTACTTTAATTTAAATAAGTAACAAAGACATTTAGGGACAGAGCGAGATTCTTTCACCGCACGAGGGCAGCAACTAAATTTAATTGGCATATTTAAATATCTAGTAATCTAGGTATTTAAATTAAAAAATGTATTTAAATACAAAATTTTTTTTTTTCTCAATATACAAATATAGATTAAATATACGTAAATTTTGTATTTGTAAATTTTGAAAGAAACTTTTGTATTTATAAATATTGGTTAACAATTAATATTATAATATTTAACTATCTTCTTTTTTGCAAGTTTCATTGCAAGTTTTATTTTTGATTATTGTTGTTGTTATTTTCTGTTTACTTGACCAGCTGATCTATTTTACTGAAAGT